TCACTGTTGTGGCCTCTCCCGTTGCGGAGCACAGGCTCCGGACGTGCAGGCTCAGCGGCCACGGCTCACGGGCCCAGCCGCTATGTGGCATGTGGGATCTTCTGGGACTGGGGCACGAACCCGTGTCCCCTGCATCGGCCGGTGGACTCTCAACCACTGCGCCAGCAGGGAAACCCGAGTGAATGGATTTTGAAAGAGCAGATGTGTAGTCTGTGCTGGAGTGAGGTTAGTCTCCCAGGTGTGAAGTTGGGATAGGGACTGGGTGGAGTGAGGTCTAGAAGAGGGTTTGCTGCAGGGTGGGGTTTGCAGGGGAGGCCCCTGGTCACTGAGCACCTGAGCATTTGGGAGGTCCAAGTTCAGGAGAAGTTCCATGGTGAAGCCTGAGGGTGGTGGGTAAGCAGGCAGGGGAGGCCTGGAGCCCACTGCTCCTCCCTGAATCCTGGTGACCGCCGTGCAGCCTGCACCTGTGTTCTGCAGGGTCCGACATGCTCCCAGCAGAGGGTCCTGACGCCAGACCGGTCCCCTTCCTACAAAGGCCATTTCAGAGATGCTTGCCCCACCTGTTATCCTGGAAGGCGCTGGTGGAGGGGAGTGGCCCATGGGTGGGGAGGAGGATGCCAGGCAAGCGCCCTAGAAAGAGGGAGAGTGGGGAAGTGGAGGCTGGACCCAGAGGCCGGAGGGGAGGCCCCACTTGTGCCGGCTTCATATTCAGTGCAGTGTGGAGCGGGCTCACTCAGCACTGCAGGGAGGGTGTCCACTCCTGGGCTGAGGAGACAGGCTTAGTCCTTCAAGGCTTCCAGGGATAAAGAGAGCAGCAGGAGGACGACGCTGGTGCTGGACACACAAACACTGTCCCACCCGGTAGCTGGCAGTTCTTGGGGCCACAAGGACACTGCAGGTTACACCCAGCTTGTGCCAAAGGCAGGAAGAGTTAGATTTTTTAAATTTAATACTTAATTAAATAGAGGACTGTGAGACATTCAGAGGCTGTGAATGTACTGAATAATGAGAGATTATTAAAACTACTGTTAACAAAAGCAGTTAGAGGAAAATTAATTGACGGGGTGGGGGG